GCCCCCCACCCCCACCCCAACAGTTCCACCATCCGTGCGCCGTACGACTGATTTTTATTTTTTATTTTTTCCCCCGATCTGATTCACGGTCTCTGTCAATAGCAGTTTTCAATCTTTCCAGCGGTGTTCAATCTTTGCATAGTTTAGCCCGCACGGAACTTCTGTTCTCCACTTCGTCTGTTTTAGTACTTTACGGCTCGCAAATTTCAAGGTGCGGGGGGGAAAAAATTTTGTCTCGCCAGTCTTTGTTGTGGTTGGAAGGACACACTTGGTGGCTTGTGCTTGACTGAGGACTGTCTCCTCCCCCCTCTCGATAGTTAGAATAATTTGCGGAACAAACAAATGTTATTGTTGGTATAGTTGCATCAATGAAAGTGCCAGATGAGCGGTGATGCGTGGGCTTTGTTTTTAGTGCCTCGGGCGGGCGGTGTTGTTGGCCAGCAATGTAATGGCTCTGTGGTCGTTGGTTTGACAATTGCAGAGGCAGGCCAAAAGTTTAGTGAAGAGATTTACTGTATTAGCATCGCCGATAATTCACTTCCTGTTTTTTGAGACGTTCCCCAAAAATCCTCAGAGGCCCCTTACCATAAATGAGTTTTCCTTTTGAGTGAGCACATTGCTTAACTGTCCGAAGGCTGGCTCAGTGAGATGAATTATTTTTGTTTTCAGAAACTTGATGTGAAGCCGACCCTTTCAATTTTGGCAGGAAACGGCAGCGACCTCGACTTCGGTGGGGATGAAACCGGGCGGGCTTAGCATGGATACCTCGGATCCCGCAGAGCCCACCGAAGTAGCAGCGGCGGAGTCCTCCGTGTCCCAAGACAACGCAGTACAGCAGCCCGCGTCTCTGCCGGAGCAAACCCAGAATGATGTTTCGCCCGCAGATGTCACCAAGACCAACGGGGAACCGGACCACCAAGTCAAACTCGAAGCTGTTGCCTCCAAAAAGCAGCCTTCCACCACAAAAACACAAACTTCCTTAAGATCCAAGACCCAACCTTGTGCCGCTGCCTCCCACCGCCCTGTAAATCACGCGCAGTCTTCTACCAACAATACGAACTCGGGTGATAAAACCGCAGCCAAATCATCTGCGGCGGGGGCGGTGCCCAAAAGACCAGTGAGCGTCGCGACGGTTGTGCCCACCGTCAAGACCCCGACCAGGGTGCTCCACAAGAGGCCCGCAGGAAGTGGCCCATCCCGGACTGCGTCGGGTGCGACTGCAACGTCGGCGACGAATGGTACCAGGCCCGCAACCCTCGGTGGAAGTCGCAATAAGAGGACGGCCGCCGACAATGTGGACGCAGCTCGAGTCAAAAGTTCCGGTAAGTCATGAGATGACTTGTCCGTTTTGGGTCATCTTCGAATGCGACGTTGGTTTTTTTATTTTTCTGCCTCGTAGCTGCGAGCAGACCAGCTGCATCCACTGGCCACAGACCCTACACTTCAGTTGCTGCCAAAGTTGACAGCGGTGCCGTTCCAAAGACCAGCAGGTATGCGCTCGGTAGCTTTGAATAGATTTTTTTTCCTTAATTTGGTTGGTAGAAATAACATTGAGAGCTGTCAAAATTCTTTGCTTTTCAAAATACTCTATTTTTATTCACCCTTTCATGCCCCATGTCCAGTTTAGTCATCGCTGTCCCCGAAGGGGTTAAAATGGGTGCCGATAAATCGCCTGGCGATTTGTCCAAATTGTTCTGATCTCAGCCTCTCAACAGTAGTTATTCTCTGATTTCCATAATCCTTCATCAAAGCGGACAGATTTCTCTTTTACATTTGCAAACGTTTTCTTTTACTTTGGGGAAACAATGACTGAATCGGTTTCAAAGAAGTTTGCGTCAATCCATCTCCTGTGATTTTTGCATACCGTATTTTCCACATTAAAAGGCGCACTGGATTATGAGGCGCACCTTCAATGGATGGCCCATTTTATAATTTTTTGGGTACATTGGACGCACCGCATTAGAAGACGCAATCTACAATGCATCCACTAGATGGAGCTACGCTCAAGGAAATGCCAACAGAACGATCAGTTGTCCGTAAAACTTATTTAATAAAGCAGCGACACAGTTCACTTAACCAACAGCAAGTTATAACATTGACTCGTTAACGTTGAACTCTCGTCGCTACTCTATTTCTGTGTTCAACTGCGTAACCGATTGCCTTAAGTTTGAATGCATTGTAAGCATGTCTCGAGCAAGGAGCCATTTTGGGGATCGACATATTACCGTAATGACCATACACAAGGTGCTTCGGATTTTTAGGCGGGCTGTGAGCTTTTAAGAAAATGGAAGGCTTTTAGGTGCGCCTTTTTAGTGCGGAAAATACGGCAACTGTTTTTTTTTTTTTCGCCAAAATCACTAAACGATACCAAATTAACAATAATTGATTACATGGCAGTAATCGAATAACAAATGGTTTTGTAATACACTTTAATATAAAATTGTATCCGATTAATCAATTCTAAATGTATTTAACCCTTGCAAGGACAGCGGTTACGACAGGGGATGGCTTATCAGGTTGCAGGGGCGGATGAAATGGTTCATAGTGACAGCCCTAATGGAGTCAGACGCTCATTTTCCCCATTCAGAGAAAATGAACTAAAATCTCGCCCTACCCCACAAGCGTTGGTGGGCAATCACCCTCCCTTTTGTACATATCCTCTACTTGCGTGTAATTTTATCTCAACTCTCATTGCCCCTCTCTGACTGCGAAAAAAAAACAAAAAACTGAAAATCAGAGTGGAGAAGGAACTGCATTGTGGTTTTTCTGCGTGGTCCGCGAGTCCAATTACACATCCAGAGTGCGAGTCATGTCTGCGTCAATGGCCTGAGACAGAGGACCTTAAGAGAGTCGGTGTTATTGAAGAAATCCAAGCCTGTGCGGCAAGGGACCGGCCGCCAACGCTTCCTTGGAGCCAAGGCGTTTACTTGAGTCAACTTACTTCGCGACGCCTGCATTTTTGATCAACGGCCTTCCGTTGTCTTGTCGGAGCCAATAATTGAAGACATTCTCAACAGATTCCGACAACTGACATTCATCGTCAGTTACTAATTACCGCAACACGTCATCTCCTAAAATGGTGGCCATCCATGCCGCAGTGAGTTCTTGGGTCATGGCAACAATGTGATGAGTCCCGTCATCCCATCGGTGGCTATTTGGCGCAGTTGCCATTTCTTTCGTGATCATAGCTTGGCGCATTTCTAGCACGACAGCGGACACTTAGCTGTCAAACAATGCCTACAGCCTGGGGGGGGGGGAAAATCTTCCTTGGCATGTTTTGTTTTATTTGGGCTGTAGTTTTTTGTAGCGAGGCAGCAGCTGGCTCATTGAGTTTTGAATGTAACTTACACTTGACCTGAATAACAGAAGGGAATGTTTCATAATCTTCAAACAGTGCATGTGGACAACTAATGGCCTGCGCCCGGAGTGACTAAAAGCGCCTAACCGCTCTTTGCGGGAATGTGATATTTATGTCTAGCTTGACATGATTCATTGCCGCTGTTCCGATTTCACTTCCCAGTTGGTGGGAGGTTTCACTGAATGAGGCCCAATGCCATGTCCGTCATTGAAAGGATTCTCTTCTTGATCGTCAAGGAGATAAACCGGAGATCTTAAGCAGTGAAGCAGCTGGGTTTTTTTTTTTTTCCTCCCTTGTAACTGAATGTGTGGAGGGGGACAGAAACAAATATTTTAGTGTACTATGTCCGTTTTTTTGTCTGAGGAGGAGCCTTTGAATTGGTGAGGTCATTTCTAGACCAAATTGTGCATCTGGCACCAGACACTCACTCTGTATGTCACTAATTTAGTGCTTATTGTGCAGGCGTCTTGTCATGCGTAATTTATAGTGAGTGATCCGTGCAACGCATCCATGCATTCTTGTTGATATTGTCTTGAACTTTAACCTCTACAAGGACCTTATGTGTCGTCGTTAAAATCTTATTCGTCTGTGATTTTTAAAAATGTTTTTGTTTGTATTGATTTCACTCCATCTGCCAGGAAATGTAATCCAACAGCAATAGAGCGCCCCCCCAATCCAGTTACGGTGGATGCTTTACAGGCATCCCTCTCTGTGCACACTTGTTTTGGATCAGACTTTTGAAAGAAAAACATAACCGCGATCGAGTTTAACTAGATACAAGCGGGCATATGTTCAATGGAGGATTTTATTTTTGGTGCCACAATTAGTCACTTGACTAAAGTGAGTTATTGGATTTTAAAAAAATATATATTAATGGACAGAATTTTAAAAAAAATCACATTTTAAATCATAATTTAAAAAAATCCCTCCAATTTTCCTCATCACAAATTTGTCCCCCACCCCCGAGTTGGCGGGATTATGCAAAAACTGCTTAACCTACTTCCCAAAAGCTGTTTGGAGGGCTGGGGTGTGGCCAAAGGAAAAATCCAATTCATTTTTCTCCACAAATGTCTCATATCAACATGTCTGTCTTATAAAATATATCACTTGGCCTGAATCGGGTTTTTGGCGTCTTGTGACGGGTTTCCACAAAGTTCTCAGTCTGCTTCAAAAATGGCATTCAGTACCCAAGCTTCTTGATATGAAATGATCCTCTCCTGACACAGTTATCTTTGGGGGCACAAACACCCACCAGAAGCCATTATTATTATAATTATTATTATTGCGGGCCATCTCTCGAAAGCTTTTTCTTCCATTGATATTGTATACCCAAATGATCAAAACCTATTTCTGTGCTATTTTGGTTCATGTATTTGTTTGTTTGTATCCCCAGGCCCGCTTCTGCTCCCTCATCATCTCGAATGGCAACAGCTGCATCCAAGGCTGGTAGCAGCACCGTTGCAACCAGAGCACCCACTAGCGCAGCGGCGGCTGCTTCCTCAGGATCTCGAGCAGTGCCATCAACGTCGAGAGCCGGTAACAGTGTTGCATCCAAGCCGCCCAGCAGTGCCGGTAGCAGAACCGCTCCATCTCGAGTTACCACGGTTCCCCCTGCTGGCAGGACCGCAGCAGCACAGCCTCACCCAGCTGCTGCTGTCACTGGGAAGAAAGGTTTGAGGGTTTTTTGAGCGTTTACACCTTGTTTCTGAGGGGAGATCTTAAAATAATGTTTGAAAGCATCAATTTTAACACCCTATAATGCCATTTGTATCATATTTGATACATGCATTTTCAGTATGTAACTCATTCTTTACATTACATTAAATCATCTGTATCAAATTTGATACTGCGGGTTTAAAATATGATTTTCCCCAAATTATCATTTTCAGACATGATGCTTATAAATGTAATACGACAAATATCTAAAACAACATGATATGGCAAAAATATTGTTGTGGATTTTGTCGTAAGGGTTAATAAATATTTTTTTTTCAGGGAAAATTAAGTTCTACCTAAATGGCGTATGTTTCTCTGTTGGCACCAGATGTCAGTCGGCCACCTTCGACTTCGGTCACGAAAAGGCCCGCTGCTCCATCAGCTGCCACCAAAAAGCCAGAACCTTCTCAACCTGGAGCCACCGGAAAGCCCCCTTCTACCTCCAAATGGGCCGCGCTTCCCCAAAAAGCCGATCCCAAGGTGTCTCAGAGTAAAGCGCAACAACCTGCAAAACCTGCTTCCGCCAAGTATTACACTGCGGCCTCTCCCAAGGCTCCAGCAGCTAGCAAGCCACCCCTGGGAAGAACCCAGCATGCTTCTCCAGCTCACAAATCCACAAACGGCAGCGCCGCGCCGGTGAAGCACCTAACCAAACCCACTCAGGCAGTCTTACCCTTTACCGCTGGTGTCAAGAAAACAAAAGATTCCAGATTCAACCACTCTGTAAGGACACAGAGGGATGCTGGTGCAGCGGTAACAAGTGCAACACCAGCGGTACAAGCCGCAGAACTAATCCAGTCTGCACCCCAAGAACCATCTACTGGTACCTCTGTGCCAGAGATGGTCCCGCCCCAGGCTTCTACCCGGGACTCGCCACCAGAGGCGGAACCGCAAGTGACTGCTCAGAGCAATTTGGCTGCTCTCTCTCCCCCGCGTAGCCCCGTTACTCCACCCTTCCCAGAAATACAACCGCCCCGGCAACAAAGCGAAAGCGACGCTCCTTCGGCACAACTGGAGCAGGTCGCAACCGCTGTGGAGGTTCCGTCACCCCGAGTAGCCTCTCTGCCAGAGATACCCAGTCAGTCTGTTAACGTGACTTCAGATCAGACTCTCTCCATATGCAAACCCGTTACAACAGTTGTAAAGTCAGTCACTCAGGTAGCTCCGCCCAGCCATCTCAACGACGACGAGGACGAAGAGGAAAGAGAGGGAAGCCAGCTGTGGTCGGTCTCCGAAATGAGCGGGACGACACAAGCAACCGAGGAGTCGCGTCCCGGTTCGGCCGGACTGCTAAGCGGCTCCGCTTGGAGGGTGGGAGGTGCCGTCCCGTCTGAGCTGGACTCGCTTAGCGGGAGCCAACAGGGGGCGTCGGAGTTGAGTGCTCCCGGCGTCCTGGAGGGCACAGAGAGCATGGACGATCTTGGAGAGGGCAGCCTCAAAGGAGCCATGGAGATGGAAGGAGCCTCTGCGGGGTCGCCAGACTTTCAAAAAGTTCCCGATATCCCCTTTAATGACTACGACGAGGACGAGGACGACGAAGACAGAGTGTGCGACATGGACGTGGGCTCCGAGAAGACCGACGAGCTGCAGAGGCATCGGCACGACAACGACGTGGATGACGACGAAGAGGACGAGGACGTGGAGATGGCGAGCGAAGCGGTAACCGAGAGCGGTCTGGAGAGCTACGGGAACGCCGACGAGGACGACTTTGCCGAGGAAGAAAGACTGGACAACTTAAACAGGTTGGTCCAGCTTCCCCCGCCTCCTCAGCTCCCATCGGCTCCGGGTGCTCAGTGGTACCAACTCAACCCGTTTGCCGACCCCTGGGAAGAGCAAGTTCAACTCCCTCGACTGCAGCAGCCCCTTGAACCGGTCTCCCAGCCCGCACCGGCGGAACCTGCGGTGAGCCCACTGGTAGCCCCCCTGCAAGCAGACTCGGAGACACCATCCCAATCTCCCGCTCAGGCTTGTCTGGAAACAAGCTCTAATCCTCATGTTCCTGAAAACCGAGATGCGTCGTCTCTGTCTTCCACTCTGAAGGATGGAGCCAAAATGGGCGCCGGACAGCGTTTCGCGGGGCCTCTGCAGACTCCAGAGCCGACTTCATTCCCTGTAAGCGGCGAGAGCGTCACTCCAGAGGAACTTGGTGAAGGACATGCCAAAATTCAAGAAGCCCCCGTCACCTCTCCCCAGCCCGATGCGGTTGCCCATATGGCGAGCGGTGACCAGGAGTTTAAAGCCCCGACCATGCCGTCGGATGAGGTTTTAAGAGGCGTGGTAAGCGCTCTCACTTCCAACCCTTCGTCAACTTCCATAACGGAGGATGAAGCCAGCGACACGGAGGGCGAAGCGCTACTCGAGGACTCTTTGGAGTCTTCGGCCGGGTTGAAGAACAACATAACCTTCGAGGTCCAGCCCCCCGCACAGCGCGGACTCTCCACCGTCGAAGAAGCGGAGGAGTCCGAGGCGACCGGTCTGACCGACGACGCCACCCCGCCTTCGGCGACCTCGCTGGCGTCCTACGGCTTCGACTCCGCAACCACGGCCTCCAACGCCCAGTCCGCCGGCGAGGGCTGCATCAAGAGTCCGGGTATCTTCTCTCTGGAAGAGCTTCCCGAGGAATCCAAGGAGCTCTGTGACCAAGCCCGATCCGGCCTCACGGAGCAGCAATACATCGAGTGCGCTAATCGGGAAGTAGGTTGTACGCAGCAAGAGCAAGGGTCAGAAGCGCCGGCTCTGAACGCTTTGCAGGCGACCGAGGAGAAGCCAGAAGACGCCCACCCCCCATACTATTCTGCAATCTGTGAAAAGACTGACAACACTTTTACAGGTAACGTATAGTTAATTATGTCCCGCTGTTCTTGTCCTCAGTGTTTGTCTTTACAATCTTTGGCGGTGATGATGCAAAGAGGGACAAGTTATTGTGGGGAAGAAAAAAAAATTACAATCTTTGGCGGTGATGATGCAAAGAGGTACAAGTTATTGAGGCGAAAAAAAAATTGACATAAAAGATCCACCATATGGCTGAGATTCCTGTTTGTGCAATGGCTATTTCGATGTACTCGTCATCAATGCAGGGGCCCCGCACTGGCATGATAGATTTGTGGTGCAGCACTTAGAGATGGCGATGCTTCAAATTGTTTGAAGTGGATTGAATTGCCCAAAATATGAGAGCTCTTGATCCTATAATGCTTTTTACCAAATGACTCATTCATACACTAACATGTCTTGATTTGTATTTTTCTTTTTTGCCGGGGTGGGGGGGGGGCAGGGATGGTGGGGCTTCTCTTCCAACACAGGAACTCTACAGTAGCCCCCCCCCCATCACTCTCTCTTGCACTTTAAATGTATGAATTTCATTGTACCCACTTTGAATAACAAAACTTAAAATAAAGATACCCTTTTATAACTACCCTATCCTCATTTCTATAGTTCTGTTGAAAGGAGTATTGGGCAGCGGCAATACTCGACAGCACAGGTGTCAAAGTGAAGGCCCAGGGGCCAGATGCGACCCACCGCGTCATTTTATGTGGCCCGCGGGAGCAAATCATATCTCAATGTGTCAACTATCACGATTCTTGCCGAAATCTGTACCAAAATGTGAAATTGTCATTGGTAATAAGTAACGTTGAGATTTTGCACCGGCCCTCCGAGGGAAGCCGTAACTCCGAAGTGGCCCGTGACAAAAAATGAGTTTGATACCCCCGCTCTACAGTGTTCCCTCAATTTTTGCGGGTGGTGCGCTCCAAGTCCCCTTCAACAGGTAAATCTCCACAAAGTAGAAGTTGACATTTTTATTGAGAGGGGCGGGGTTAAACGTCTATTAAGCCATTACGACCCCCCACCCCCACCCCACACACACACACACGTTTCCGTCCCTTCGAAACACTTTGGCTTCATAAATGTAACTTTTAAACAGCAAAACGAATAATAAATGCCAAGCTGCTGATGATTGGCTCGCATTCATAAATGAACGTGACGGGAGCGCGCGCTGCATCGCGGCAGTAGCCGAGGACACGTGGCGACAAAGTAACCCACATTTGGACAAGGCCCCCAACGAATGCTGTAGGAACAGAACTCGGTCGTAACTGGAGGGCCCCGCGTGGATATACAGCCACCACGAAAAAGGCTGAACACTCCAAGAGGATCAGCAACCACGAAAGGCAACAAGAGACTAGTTCACGGCGGAAGAATCACACTGCGCGAATGCTACAGTACTGTTCTTGTTGTTTTTCGTTTATTTTTTTTTAAAATAATTCTATTCACGGCTTAATCTAGTTCTTTCCTACTATAATCCCGACTTTACTACAGCTTTAGTGTAGTTTGTATCGTAAATCTTTGCGGCAGTTAACAGTTGTATCAGTGCTGTAGCACAGGACACTCGCTTCTTGCGCCGTGTTACGCCGAAAGCAGTCGTAGCCGACAATCAGACACTGCCGCTGACACGGTAAACGCGGTTATTTTGTACGAAGTAATAAAAGATTCCTTCCGCCTCCGATGTGGCAATTTTGCAAAATCTCTGGATGAAGTCGGCTCTCGATTTAAGTTCTCCAACTACCCGCTGCACAAAACAAAGTCCTTCCCGCCCCCGAGTTTGCCCAGACTTGACAAGCCGCTGGATGATACCTCAGCATTGGATCCAACGGCACCGCTCCAAGCAACAAAGGCCTTGGTAAACGTTTTAACTGTTTGGCCTCCAAGACGACTGCTGACTGTGCTGCAGCTTTTAGGTCGTCTCCGCCACATTCTAGGTGTGTTGCCGCCAAATCACTGAAAGAAAAAAAAAAATCTTCTGCATTCTTCTAAGGCACCGTACGTTTTAACTGAGCATGTGGCTATAACATCTTGATTTTCATCGCATCTCTGCTCAGGTTTGCTGAATAGCTTGGCTCTAGGATTTGAATATTTGGAATCGGGGGTTCAAGGCGGATGCTTTATTTTGGGTTGAGCCCTTCTTCCTATTGCAGGGGTGGGGAATCAATTGGACCTGGCCCAAAGAGGATTGAATAAGATTCCCCAGTCCTGCTCGAATGACTGAGTCTAAAGCCAAGCTATTGTTTCCTCGCGACGCTGTTTCATGTACACAAATGCATGAAGAGCTTCTGCATGTCTTCGTTTGAATTCACGGGTGATTTCAGCTGGTTGCGTACACAGGAAGTTGGCTGTTTATTTTATTTTTTTTACACTCCCCTTGTTGTCTGGGTATTAAAAATGGTTTGCACCTTTTTTTTTTTTTTTTTTTTTTGCTCTCTCGTCCCAGGACTTCTGCACTGGTTTCACGATTTTACTCACCTCCTTTTTCAAATACAAAATGCCATTTTTGCCCACGTTGCAAGCCCACGTTTGCGGAAGCAGTTTTGCTCGAGTTTGGTTCCGTTGGCTGTTTTCCCTCACACTGCTTTTTTTTTTTTTTAAACTTTTAAAAGGGCCATGGGCTATTGTTCTTGAATCTTTTCACACCGCTCTGCTCATTGTAACCCTTTTTCACCACACGCAGGCCTCACCCCGCAACATCATCATCGCCACGGAGACCATCGCGGCATCACGCCCCGTCTGACTTGCGCGGACCTGCCCCCCCGCAAGGCCGGGCAGCAGGCGCTCAGCCCCCAGCTGCGGCGCCTGGAGCAGCACCAGAGGCAGCTGATGGAGATGCAGCAGCGGCGGGAGCAGCAGAGCAGACCCCTGGAGGGGGCCGAGCAGGAGAGGAAGAGGACGGAGGAGGAGGAACAGAGGAAGAAGAAGGACGAGGCGGAGGAGGAGATCAAGAGGAACGAGCGGGAGGCGTGGGAAGAAATAGAGGAGGGTGAAATGGGAGAGGGGAGTGGCCAATCGGGGACTGAGGAAGTCATCAATGGCGAGGGCAAAATGTCTGCTGAAGAAGAGGCGGAGAGGCGCGAGCTGGAGTTGCGACTGCTGCAGCAACAGTCCGAGCTGAAGCAGAGGCAGCAGATCCTGCAGTGGCAGCAAGAACTGGAGGAGGAGCAGCCGCCTTCCAACCGAGCAGTGGTCCTGTCCCCCTCATCGGGCCTGTGCACCATCTACGAAGCCCTGGAGAACAGCGACGAAGAGCCGGACGGCCGCCGTGCGGATCGCAGCTCTCGGGAGAGGAGGTTGTCGGCAGACTTGAACAATCCAAAGGAAATCTCCAGCAACGGGGGCCGCTCCTCCCCCTTGGACTTGGACTGGGGCGCCAAAGTGGACATGGTGCAGCAGCTGATCAATCAGACGTTGCTGCTCAACGGAGATGGCTGCTCCTCCCTGCTGCTTCTTCCGGGGGGTGCGGGGGGCACCCTGAGCCCCCTGGAGAGCAGCCTGTGGCCCAGCCTCCTGCCTCCCATCAGCCCTCCCTCGGCCACAGTGACTTCTGTGAGCAGCTTCTCCCCGGAGGCCGCCGGAAGCTCCCCTCAGGGGGAGTGGACAGTCGTGGAGCTGGAGACGCATCACTAAGTAGGCGGGCGACTCCACGGATACTCCTTTCACACAGAGTTGTACCCAGTGCTGGTTTCGTATGTGCTCAACCATTTTTATGGTGCTCGTCGTCATGAGTGTGAGCTGAAGTCCATCCAAGCTGACTGGAGTGGTTCCCACTCGCACCGTCGGACAATTCAGCATCAGGTTCATGTACTTGTATGCTCTGTGCTCAGGCCAAAGCCATGTCTAATGTAACGAGATGGCTTTGGAGCCAAGCTACAATGTCAAAGTGAGGGAAGGGAAGCTTCACTTTGTCAAGACCACAGCTCTGGCTAATGGGGGGCGGGGGGGGGTTGCTTTGCTGCCATCTTGTGGCATCAGAGGGAACCATTATACAGTTTAGCGGATGTTAATTACTTTTTTTTTTTTTTTAATTCATGACAGGGCTAAGTCCCAATTTTTTGTGAACATGATCATGGTGGAACACTGTACTACAAGCACAACTGCATGTTACTTGCAAGGCAAAACTATGCATGAGTTGACATTGGTGAACTACGAGTACTTACTTTCACAGTGCAGAGGTCGTGGGTTCAATCCCCCGCTCCGGCCTCCCCGTATGGAGTTTGCATGTTCTCTCCGGGCCTGCGTGGGTTTTCTCCGGGTACTCCGGTTTCCTCCCACATTCCAAAAACATGCATGGCAGGCTGATTGAACACTCCAGATTGTCCCTAGGTGTGAGTGTGACCGCAGATAGATGTTCGTCTGTGTGTGCCCTGCGATTGGCTGGCAACCAGTTCAGGGTATCCCCCGCCTACTGCCCAAAGTCGGCTGGGATAGGCTCCAGCACCCCCCGCGACCCTTGTGAGGATAAAGCGGTTCGGAAAATGAATGAATGAATGTCACTCGTAGTACCGGTTGCACTTGGTTTAGCCTCATGAACATGAAATGTGAGCAAAGAGCATCCTCGTACAAACTGCTTTCGATAATTTCATCTAAAGTGAACTGAACATTCCTGATTTTGCTATGTGAAAGGCAAATTCGACACATGACTGTGAGGCAAACGTGCTGTCGCAGACTGGTCACGCTGACCGTCGTCACCTGACATGAACATTGAACCGCATTTGAAGGTGCTGCAGATTCCAAACGGTCGGTAAGATCACCAACGGAAATACAAGCATGTCCAAAATGTAACAGTGACTACTGGAGTAGTCACTGTTACTTATTCACTTGTAGCGTATTCTTTTTTCCTTGGCTAAACACTCATCGTTGAGACTGCTCCCTCTTATATGGAAGTGTTTTTAAAAAAAAAAAAAGCCAAAGAAAAAGCAAAAGGCTTGTGTGACACCGTGCATGATGGCCGTTCAAATGTTGAAGGATTATCTTTGCAAAGACAAAACTATTGATCTTGGTGTTGGTTCTTGTGAAAATGTGTACCTCATGTTGTGACTGCTTTACGGAGACTAAACAAACAAAAAAAAAAGCATATTCTTACATCGGGTACCGTAAATGTAATGCCTCATGTCTCCTAGATCCGATTGTAAATTGTTCTTGTAGAGTTTAGAGGAAGCAAAGACACTGGAAATGACTTTGTCACGCATCGAGCTTAAGAGCATTTTTGTCTTACTTTTGTTATTTGTCCACCAAAGGTCAGTAGGCGTAAATGTTTCCCCCTTGAAACATCTGTCGGTCACTGATGTTACTTATTTGTGTCTATGAATTGATTTTTTTTTTAAATCCGGATCTTAAGGTCCAAGTAGTATTACACTGTTCTCATCAAGACAATTCAGTTCACTAGCAGAATAACTCTGATGAGTAACATCCCCACTGCTGGTGCCACTTGTGGCCTGTGGGACATTTCTGTAACATGTAAGACAGTAGTCCTCAACTTTTTACACCAAGTATCACACCCGAAAAAATACTGAGGGAAAAAAAACCTAAAAATTTGAGGAAAAAAACTTAAATTTACAAGAATGAAGTCGTAATGTGAGGAAAGTCGGCATTTCGCGTTTTCCACATTTGAGAATTGTAATGAGAAGGAAAATATCATGCACTCTGAAAGTTCCCCCCCGCTAATACACTGTAGTCCTTTGCAAACTTACAATTGTTGGGCCTTCACATATGTTTTGTCAGTGTTTAATTTTGTGTTGAAAGCTGCTGTTTGTGTGCCGTGTTTATTTTCCCTGAAGTACGACAGTGAAGAGAATCTCACAATTGGGAAGCTTTTCTGCTCTTATCATTTTCATGAAGGGAAAAGTCTTTGTGAGTCCTATTTTGCTTCTTTATGTATCTTAAATGTATTTTCAAGTGAAATCCAATGAAGGATGTCAGATGTTGATAGTGCTGGTCAAAAGCAGATTTTGATCAGAGATGGCTTTCTTTGTGCGCGGGGGG